TTGTTTTGGGAAAGAAAAAAAAAAAAAACCCAAACAAATTAAAACCAACCACCCAAAAAGCAAAAACCCAAACAACAGCCAAAAAGTCACCCCCAACCCAGCAAGCAGAACCACAAAAAACCCCACAAAACGTCCCAAACTCCATGTAAATAAATTTTAAAGATACAAATTAAACACTCAGAATTGCTCAGGTTGGCACCAGCAGTTATAGCACCCAAGGGTGCTGTAAACATCCTGTGAAGAGGAAAATGTTGTTTTGTTGTTTTAGTGGCTGTTCTGTGTATGAATATTTCTTAAACTGATTAGTTGAAATTTACTTTGTTGGCTGATTGAATAAATTCATTTGAGAGATTCTTAAATGTTTTAGACGGGTATCCTGCCTGCACTTCGAAGTATGTATTAATGAGAATGACTCTGCAAAAGCAATAGCTTGTGGTGAAATGGTAAGATCTTTTAAGAAATTAACATTCTGAAGTGTAAATGCATGCTGCAGAATCATAGTGTGTCTAGATACTTCGTCTGCCTCTTGCAAAAACTTGTATGTCTGTAGTCTTCATGACAGTAACTGGGTGACTGGTGTTACTTAGGCCTAACTCTGTAAAAGTTCATCTTACTTTTGTAAAATTTTGATCTGGTTAACAATGCTAGTTGAAGAGATAACACAACTAAATTACTACCACTGTGGTATCTTAGGTTTTTGGAATAGAGACTTCAGTGTTTTTAGAGCAGTATTTCCAATTGTAGTCACAAAGATAGAAGCTTAATATAATTCAGTTTATTTGGAATTGGTTTACTTTACTGAATGGTTAAATTGTATTTTCGCAAGAAAAATTACAACTTGAGGTTTCCTTTCAGAACATACAGGCCTTGTGTTACAAGCACACTCAGATTTTGCAGTGGCTGGAATGGTATTATGTTGTATTAATCATTTGTCCTCAGAGGTACTTTAAACAGAGTATGATGTCAGCCAAATGTTTTTCACAATTCTGTTGGAGCAGCTATGATGTCAATGGGATAAACAAAAGGCTCCTGCAGATAGTTCATCAAGATCCCCTAAATTCTCTACAGGGTATGAAGCATAATGGTTCCCCTGACATTAAATTATGTCCAGATGAGTTAGTCCAGTTGAAACTTGAAAGGTGCTGCTGCTTTTTTTAATTAAAAAAAAAAAAATTGCCTTGTATTTGGTGAATCGACATCTTTGGTTTCAGAGTTGCATAGCTCGTTTTTAACCTTTTCTTCTTCTTCGTTACAATGTGTGTATTCTGTAAAAAGTAAAATAAAGATTGCAGATATTAGCTATTGATGAAAGGTAAATGTTTTAGGTGTGGAATGACTTTTAAAAAGTGGATAGGGAGTTTTACCTGTGATGAAAAGGGAAGATGAAGTATAAGAAAACCATGCTGCCCGTTGCCATATTGCAAGATGTCACAGCTGGTTAATAGTCTTGGACTGTATTTTTCAGGTTTTTTATTCTGTCTGTTGGATCTCTCTCTGCTTTAAGTATGTTTGAAAAACATGTTGCTTATGTTGGTTCACAGGAGGGGATGTCTGTACCACTTTGCTTCCATTAGCTGGACTGTACTCTGAAATGTTTTACTGGTGTTGCAAAAATCCATTAGAAGTAAGAAATAAGTAGGCAAAGTGTGGTGTTCTTGGTTGTTGAACATATAGATTTTTGTCATAGTTTTCTGTTACAAAAATGAGAATCTAGAAACTTTATTACTATTCCATTCTCAAAGATTATTAGTCCTTTTGTAGCAAAAGTTTAATAAGTAAGACTTTAAACATGTTTCAAGGAAGAGCAAAGGCATGATCTTCGCATATCCTTTAGATAGAGCTTATAATAGCTTTGTGAGGTTTCAGACAATGTATTTACGTTTAGGTTACACAATAAAACCTAAAGCAGCTGATGTGTAATTTAGAACTTCTTGATGTAAAAACTCAGTGGTTTTTTGGCAACTGTTTGTAATGCCCTGTAAACAAATCACATTATGTGTAATGGCAGTTCTTTGCAGGGAGGGGACAGTGTTTAATTTGATTATAATAAAATTATTTTTAGAATAAAGTCTTAAAATTTTTTTTGCCATTTTAGAATAGCAATAAAGATTTTGGTGCCACCATCTTTCTTCTTGTTCCCTCCCAAAGGTGCATCAACATTTTCAAAGTGGAATTTTGATTCTCTGGGGAAGATAAATTCACTTGACAACTACATTAAATTTTTGTTTGTTTGTTTCATTTCACTAGTGAGAGTCCTAGTAGTTACAGGACTTTTTATTTTGGTAGTTTTTTGTTTTGCAGCAGTGAAGCGGATTTAAATAATTTCTGGCTGCTTATTCTGACACTTGTAGTGTGGTTTGCTTCCCCTCTCCACCCTAAGGCTGTTGCAACTCTAGGGAAGGGGGAACGGGGGAAGCTAAATTTGTAACTGGATTAAAAATGCAATCCAGACTAAAACAAACTTAAAATTATTGGGTGTTTTTAAACTAGTTCATTAAAATGGTTCATGTTCTTGCTGTGCTTTTCTTTCTGTTAAGAAGGTGGAAGAAAAGGTATAATACTTGTAGATGTTCCAGATAACTTAAATTAAATAAACATTACAGAAATTGTCTTTTTTGTAATAGAGGTTGTACATGTAGTTGATGTGTTAATTATATTCCTCCCCTGTAGACTCCTCCTGAAACACAGTCAACTTTCACCTGTAAAATAGTCTAAGAGCACTAATTTTAAATTTTACTGGCTCTGAAACAGCTGCAATCAGAGTGTATGGGACTAGGATTGCAGCATCTAAATTGAATTGCTAAGAATTCTGTAAAATAACAAGTAGTCTCTAAAAAGTAATCCTTTTTTTCTTTCAAAACTGTAGGCTTTAGTTCTATCTAAACAAGTTTATTAGGTGAGAATCTGTTAAGTATGGAACTTTTACATTTTAATACCATGTCCCTTTAGAATAACTAGCAAGGCAGCATCAATTGTAATGCTGTTTGTGGAGTGAATTTTTTTCAGGCTATTAATTCCTTTTAATATATGTTACCTTTGGCAAACTGTTTGAACTGTTTGTACAGTTTGTATATATAATGTATCAGATTAAATTCTTTTGAAGGCACTTTGGTGTAACTGTAGCTGTTGTAACCTAAGTGGTGTTTAGAGAAAACACAGATATGCATTGAAATAGACTTTTTACTATACTAGACTTCCAAAACAGGGGCAAGTAATTAGTCTCCACTGCACTAGGGAAGGACAAGCAGTTATAATGTGTGGTGTTGTTGCTGCTGGTTATACAGAAAGTTTTACTTTGAATACTGACTTTAATTAAAATATCTTTCCTTAATTACTCCAAGTATGTATATTTTTGGTTGCAGGAAACTGATAGCTCTTCAAAAATAACAGCCTCAGGAAAATTGTAGTTTGTCTTCTCCAGTGCTGTTTTCAAAAAAGATGGTACACTCATGATCCCTTGAAATTCTTTTGTTATATTAAGGCATTTAATAAAGCCATTCAGAATTTAAGTAGTTGTAATGCATTAGTCCTCTTCTTTTTTTATAGCATATGTAACAAAAATAAAAATCTACTTTATGTGCTGGTATAGTGTTTAGGATGTGATTGAGTCATCAGTTACATATGCAACCCCTCACAATTCAACACCCCCTACCCCCGCCAAAAAAATCATAATGCCCAAACTTCTGTTTAGTTGCTTGTAAAAACAGGGCTTAATTACACTTGTGAACAGTGTATTTTGACAATTAATGAGTAAAACCAGTCCTCATTATGTTTTATTGTACTTAAAACATTGTTAGTTAGGTTGGAATCTGGCCAGTAGGGGTTCTCTGTAAACTCTGGCTGATGTGTTTCTCTTGATGTAACAGTACAGTCTTGTTTCAGGGCATTAAGCTTTGTTTAAAAATGAATAGATGAACTCGTGCTTTAATCTTAATCTAATTAAATGTAGAGCAGAAAGACGACTTGCAGTGTTTGTGCAGATACTAAGGTTCAAGTCATGCTGTAGTCAGGAATGTTGGTCAGTCTGTCTTGACCTTGTTTACTCTTTGATTCATACCACTGTCACAGTTGATACTAAACCGAGCTTCGCTGAATTTTGATAGCAGAAATGGTAGCATATTATCTTGGTGTGTGTGTTCTACTTTAGTGTTATTAATTTATTTTCTCTGGAAAACAGTGAAAATAATGTCTTTCTGGGTTATTTAAGATGACCTGATTTTAAATGGCCATTTTGCTGTGGTGGTGATGACATTCAGCTGTCCACTGCCTTAGAGAGCGGTATGGACATTACTGTAATTTGATAATGAATGCAGCACTTAAAAGTGGCTTTCCATCTTGCATCTGTCAGTTTTTTGACAAATGAATCTGTTTTGGATGTTGTCATCATCCTCTGTTTCAGCTTCCAATATCCAAGATGTAAATCCTACAATTGTTTCATGAGCTTCCATGAGCTTTGTGAGACTTTCCACATGTTCTGTGTAGGAGAATGTAGTGTAGCAACTAGCTCTTCATCAGGAGTTCTTCCATTTTTTTTTCTCCTTTTGGCTGCAGTTGTCTTTACTGGGGCTTGCTTGAGTGGTGTAACTGTCTGGTCAGGTGCAAGCTCTCATTTTCAAGTAAAAGAAAGTACAAAGAAAAATAGAAGTTCTTTATGGTTTCTAAGGTGGGCAGTCAACGGTTAGTTTACAGAAAGGAGATGGGTGAAAGATATAAATACAGCTTTGTTTGTCCTGTGCTCTCAGGTCTTTGGTAGTTTCTGTGTAACTGAATGCTTGCACCAAAACAAACTTCTTATTGACTCCTTTTAAATATATTAACTGTGCATAGCAAGTTTAATCTGTTTTTATATATTCAATACATATAGTTTCATATACTTGAAATGGAGTTGTCATCTATTTTAAGGAAGAGGTCTAATGACCGTATTTTAGCATTAATTCAAACAGCATGTATTTATGAAGGTATGCATTCTTAAATGACATCTATTTGTAATTTTTTTAAAGAATAATATTCAAGCATCAGAAGCTCTTAAAACTGAAATTGATGATTTGAAGAAGAAGCATGATGAGGCTGCTTCAAAAGTTCTCCAGCTTGAAGAAGATATCATGACTGTTACTCAAAAAGCCATTGCAAAAGAAACTGAGTTAGACAGGTATTTAGTAATTTTTTTCCTTACCTTCATTATTTTACTGTTTCTTTCCATAGGTGATTTTTTTAAACTGACAATTTTTAATGTATGCCTCAATTTCTGTGTTAATAGTTCTGTACTATTAATTTGTCAATGTCTTAGTCTGAAGGACAAACTGAAGAAAGTGATGCTTGAGAAGGAGCAACTCGAATGTGTGTTAAAGACAGAAAAGGATGAAAAAGAACTTTATAAGGTAACTCCATTCCTTGTACCTGTATACACTGAAATGAAATGGTTTGAAATAAAGGTAATAATGTTTTGTGGAGAAGTCTGATTAATTTAATTTGTTAAGGAAAAAAGGAAACGGATGATAACTTCTGTGAACAGATTTTTAAGACAGTTATAGATGTTCTCAGAAAAATGGATGAGTAAAACAGCATCTGAATTCGTCCCATGATGTAGAAAGGTCTCTAAGAAGGAGAATGGATCACAAATTTGTTAAAATGCAGGCATAGTAACAAAAAATAATAGATGCTAGTGGGAAAGTTCTTTAGTTATACAGTGCATCACCCTGTAACTGGTCTTCTTAACACACTTTTTCATAAGTAAATTACTTTTTGCTCTTCTAAGTTCTCTCTCCAGACTGGGTTTTCTGGATCCCTATTCTTGAGTCTTGTGCATAACTCTGAGAAACTTTAGTAGGATCTATATTGGATTGATTTTTACTAGCATAGCTGATTTTTTTTGCTGGTATTGAGAGTCGCCCATATTTAAAAGAAAATACAGGGCTCCT